TTTTAGAGTATTGGAAAATGCCCAGACCTGGGAATGCAGATTCACCAGACACCTGCCTGTGAAAACCTTCCCATCATCCTCTGGCACTATTGTTAACTGACACACATAATAGTGATGTGTGTTTATGGAGTTCGGAGTGATATTTCAATACATGTGTTTATTTACCATCCTTCGTGTTGGGAACATTCAAAATCTTCTGACTGGTATGAAATGCATACTAAATCTAGGTTAACTGTAGCTTTTTAAAATATATCTTAATAGACACATGTTTATGGGTTGCAATGTGACATTTCAATATGCAATAATGATTAAAACAGGATGTCTGGAAGAGCTCTCTCTCTAGACATTTATCATTTCTTTTGGGTTAAAAATCCTGTTTTCAGAGATTTTGAAATATGCAGTAACTTGTTGATCTAACCTTCAATGCTATGAACCTTGACCTTTCTTTCCTATGGTCTGTTTAAAGAATTCCCATTTCTTAAAAAAAAAAAAAATAGATTATCAGATAGGTAGGTAATCCAGTCTACTTCACTAGATCCCTTGATCTCTGAGGAAAGATAATTAGCAAGAATCTTGATGTAGTTCTCCCATTTAGTGCCGTAAAACATGAAAACTGTCACTTGAACTAATTGTGGTGTGAAAGATGCATTGGCGTTTCCAAAATTGCAGATGTAGGCACAAAATAAAACCTCAGACCACCGAGGCATGAGATTAGAAACAGAACGTTGACAGATTTCTCTGTTTATTGCACCTTCCCTCTCCTCTGCCAAGCCCAGAGAAGCCAAAATACAGACACCTCCCAACCCGCACCCATTCACCCCTGTCTAGAGCAGTTCACAGCAGGGCCTGCAGCATGCAGATGAGAGATCTGAAGAGCTCTGCAGGGAGCTGGCCAGACTCCATGTCTGCCTCTCCCACTTAACCTCGCCTGCTTTCCACCAGGTTAGGACACCTAAACACTGCAAGCCTTTGCCTTTGTAAGTGGGGTCAACTACAATGCCTACTTCAATGATACAATATAGCACAGGGTAAGGGGCCCATCAGTGACAGCCACCACTGTGACGATCAACCTTCACTGAGCATCTTTGAGAGTCTCCCTGGATACCTAGCATATACCCAAAGAATGCTCAACCATACCACAGAGACACATGCTCAGCTATGTTCATAGCAGCACTATTCATAATAGCCAGAACCTAGAAACAATCTAGATGTCCCTCAACTGAAGAATGGATTAAGAAAATGTGGTACATATACACAATGGAGTACTACTCAGCAGAGAAACACAATGACATCATGAAATTAAACATGTAAATGAATGAAGTATCCCCACCACACTCCAGGAACTCCACTTATAGGGGATTTATGGCATGTAATTGTATTATCTTAAGTCTGAACACAATGTAGAGAAATATAATCCATGAGTTAAAGGAACCCATGGGATTGAGAACTTCAGGTTGGAGGACCTAAAAGGTTGTCAGGAAGACTATGAGGAATACAGCCATCCCTGAGATGAAGGGAGAACTGTGGAAAGCCTGGACTGGGAGGTTCCTGAGTGTAGTTCAGTGTGCCAGCAGTGGCGAAAAGAAGCAATACTTTTTAGTAGATGCCCAGTGGCCTTGTACATATTAAGCACCAACTAATAGGTCAGCCCTACTCAGCCACTGGAAATAGTACAGTGAGCACAAAAGAATTCCTGCCCTTCTCAAGCTGCCTTTCTAGAATTTGAAGGAAAAGACATAAAGCTTACAAAATACTGCCTATGTACAGTAATAAATCCAAAAATGTATGAGTCTGTAACGTTTTGTGTACAACTGAGAAGAAAAATTAAAGCAGGGTAGCATGTCCAGGGATGAAGGGGCTCTGGAGGAGGTATGGGCCCTTCTTGGAGATGTTGTCTGAGAAGAAACCTGAGTGCAGGGGGGTATGAACCATAGTTTAGATGCTTTTTTCATTAGTCACTCTCAGTGATGGGTGACATCTTTCAGGAAACACTCTGATCTGCCTTAGTTTTAACCGCACTCAGCGGTGGCCCAACTTCTGCCCTCACTGCCCGCCCTAATCTCTCAGTTCTGTAACTTTCCATTCTTCTTCCTGTTCTCTGGAATTCCTTCCCCCCTTCCTTCAAGACACAGTTGTAATGCCGTCTCCTCTCCCTATCCACTGAGGAAAGTCTGCCTTCAGTTGGCTCTCGAAGCAGCACCTGGCCCTCTGCCCCCGTCTCAGGTTGTCCTTTCTCCTCCCCACCCCAGTCACAATGGATCCTCACATCCACCCCAAGATTCCATTCATGAACATAGAGCTAGAGCGCATGTCCTGGGTCCCCACTTCTCTCCTGAGTGCAAGATCATATCATACTGTCCTTGGATTTCCCCAACCCTTCATTCTTATGAGTTAAATCCTAGTTCTCAAGTGGTTTTTATTGTTTTGCTTTTGGTGTTTGGTTTTTGATGGGGAGGGAGGCTGGTTAATTTGTTTATTGAGCTGATTTCATTAATTCATCCTCTGTCCTATCCCTACCGTGCTTTGTATTGATCGATTTTTTTTTTTAATTTGGTGAAACAACTTTGTATTTCTTGTATAAACCCGTCTTTGCTGCAGCCTGTGGCCCTTTCTGTGTTACTAGATTTAGTTTGCTAATATTTTATTAAGGGATTTCTGCTTCTGTGTACTTAAGAAATGTCAATCCTTTGTCATTTCCTTCTCTCTCTCTCTCTCTCTCTCTCTCTCTCTCTCTCTCTCTCGCTCGCTCTCGCTCTCTCTGTCTGTCTCAATGATGTGTTGGAGGTCTTCAAATACATTTAGCTTTTATTTTTGTATTATTTTATGTGTATGCATGCTCCTGAGTGTATGTGTATGTATCACATGCATGAAGGTGTCCTTGGAGGTGGAGGAGGGTTTCCGATCCCCTGAAACTGGAGTTACAGGCAGTTATGAGCCACCCAGTGTGGGTTTGGGTGCTGGAAAATTAACCCCAGGTCCTCTGCAAGAGCAGCAAATGTCCTAACCCCTCCCTGAGCCATTTCCCCAGGCCCTCACATTCAGTTTTCAAAAATACATTTTGCAAGTTCATGTCCATTTGTGAGAAGTGTTAGATCAGTACAGCTTTCACCTTACCGCAGGTGATATTTTCATACAGCAGCCTAAAATCTGTCCTGTACTTGGACACATTTCTTTCTTCACATTAGCCTTAAAATTTGGAAGGTGCCTCTGTATCCTTTTGGCCCATCAATGTTTGTCTAGATTTTCTTCTAGAACTTTGGTTTCCTCTAATTTGAAAATACAATATGGAAATAGCCTATGGCTGGTGAGTTATCCCAACACCAGTCATTAAACAACCCGTTCCTGGCTGTACGGCTTCACGCCTTTATCAGACAATAAAACACCCTGTCCAACTGAGTCTATGTCTGTCCATCACTTACTCGCTTCTGACTGACTAGAGAATTCGCTGCGGTAAGTGCCTATCGCTGTTTTTCTTTTCCAAAACGCTTCTAGTCTTTCTTAAGCACTGTTCTTCCAGATGAACTTAAACACCGCATCAAGCCAAAAAGGTTCTGGCTTTTGTATTATCTAACATCACCATTTATTTCTGCAGGATAAACATATTTCACAACAAAAGGGACTTGATTGTGTGGCATACATGTGGAGCCAGACAGGACAGGAGCTACCAACCCCGCTGCACTGCAGTTTCCTACACACACACACACACACACACACACACACACACACACACACACACACAGAGAGAGAGAGAGAGAGAGAGAGAGAGAGAGAGAGAGAGAGAGAGAGAGAGAGAGATCCTGGCATTAAGCTGAACATCAGTGCTAGTTTGGCAAGTGGTAAAATTTCACCTCTTAGTGAGCAAGTAACTTAGAAGGTGAGAGAAGGTGGTTCTGGGAGCTGCTGGCAAGGGGCCATTTTTAGGAAGAACTGTCACGGGGGAAATCCCTTTTATGGCTAAAAGGAAGGAGAACACCCTTAGAAGCTCGGTATTGACAGAGTAGTGGGTCTGAAAGAAAACAGAAGCCAAGGCCCTGGGCCTTAGAGGTCAAGGCCACACAGGGGAAAACGCAGCAGGTTCGGTTACAGCCAGACCTCAAGGATGGGGAGAAAGCTACAGAAGCTTGGATTTGGAAGGTCTACATAAAATGCTGTAAGGAGCAGGGCTGCCCTGGGACTCCATTAGTTAACAAGGTAACAGCAAGAACAGAGCCATAATTACCGCTGGGGGCCAGACCTGTGCTCCAGACACCCTCGCGGCCAGGTTTGACAGGAGTGGCTGTTCCTAGGAGCTCCTGACTGACCAAAGGTTACATGGGAGCTGGGGATGATCAGCTGTTCGGGTGCTTGTCTAGTGTGTATGAAGTCCCGGGTTCAAATCTCAGTACCATATAAACTGTACCTGGTGACTCAAACCTGTACCCTCAATACTCAGGAGATGGAGGCAAGGAGAAGCAGAAGATCAGAGCCATCCTCAGCTACGTAGTGAGTTTGAGGCTATCTTGAGCGACAGGAGCGCCTGTCTCAAGTGTGTTTGTCTGTCTGAATGCTGACACAGCAAGTGTCCGGTACAATCTGAAGAAAGGAAGGTGGACACTGTCAAGCATGTTAGCAGGTCAGGAGAGCTGCTTCTGAGATTTTCCACTTTGGAGTCCATGGGCAGTCTGGGGGTTTTCAGAATGGGGGGTGCACCGTCTGCTAGAACCACAGGCACCTCTGTGGCACCTGCTTAGGTCCCTGTACGCTCTGCATCTTTTGACAGCAAGCACAATGGATAGGTTCCTGAACCAATCAGAACCAGCCTTACAGACTGTTCGGGATGGACTGTTAGGTGCTTTCTCCCATGGGGAGTCACAGCTGCCAGGGTGGATGTAATAAAGCTCCAGAGATTACATTTTCAGTCAATTATTTCTAATGATATGCAGGATCAGGTCACCATCCTGAGATCCCCCTGCATACCACGGAAGTGACTTAATGCATTCTGGGAGACCAGGGCAAAGACCTCAGAATGACATGCTTTATTGAAACCTTTTCTTTCCTGGGTATAATAGTTAACATATTCCTACAGCAGAAAACATAGAAACATAGCCAGAAGGGAAAAAATATCATGATTTTAATAATTCTTCACTCAGAAGTGATCACATTATTTTGGCAGGCTGTCTTTGAATACAAGCACATTCAAATCAACAAGGAAAATGCGCAAAGCTAAGACTCTGTTATCTGTCTACCTAGTTACTTCCAATAGCTTTATAACTTCATATCAAAAGTATTTTTAAGGGGGTTTATGTGAGGCTTGAACTCTCCAAACGCAGAACACTGGACAGACCAGTGTCTCCCACAAACAGCCTATGGATAATACACGACTAAACTAATTTAGCCAGTGTCTCAGTGGAAACTGATAATAAACCCAGATACAGCCCTGGCATGTCATGACTGTGGCCCCCAGAACAGTGATAAATCACCCCTGTCATAGTACATCTGGAAATATCTTTTGAGCCTAAAAATAATGGGCCACATTAGCTAATGCAGAATAGTTATTTAGCTAAATTAAGCTTCGGCTGCTATCAAGAGACTCATTCCAAAATGGGATTTTTTAAGTAATAATAATAGGGCCTTATTCATTATTTATAAGGTAATTACAGCTGAGCCCCTGCTGTTTCCATCCAACCATGTGATATTGAAGCCGAGGGTTTGGGGAGAAAGAGGAGAGATGGATATTGTATTTCCTTTTCCCATCATGGATAGTATTTTTCTAGCCAACAGTCGCAAGGGTGGTTCTCAGGAAACGGTGCAACGCGGGATTTTCATATCTCTTGCAGAACTGTGTTTTGTCTAGACCCTGCTCCATCGCACGCTCTTTACCACGTTTCCTGGCATTCCGTGATATCGCAAGCCTTTCTTTGCGTTTACCGCCTGTGGGACAAAGTGTTCATTGGAGCAAGCAGGCGAGGGGGTGAGGAAACCTCAGAGAATCTAACCATAAAAGCCTGCGTGTCCCAGCTTCAGTGACAGCAGATGGCCTGTGCTGTGTGCAGGGTGGAACTGCCGGTCCCAGAGCTCTCTCCCAGAGGTCACCCACCGATCTTCTTGTGTAGCAAACGCCCTAGTACAAACCCAGAACCCACAAGTATCTACTGGGTTGGTTTTGGTGTGACCTGCCCGCAGATGTCTGCTGGTGCGCCTGTGTCTCGTCCCGGGGATGTGCTCAGCTGCTGGAGTTCTTGCCTGGCTTGCATGAGCCCTGGGTTTGGTTCCCCGCACGGTGTAAAGCCAGGTGTGGTGGCACACACTTGTCATCCCAGGACTAGGGGAGTGGAGGCATGAACGTCAGAAATTCAAGACCCTCCTCATCTTAACAGAAGTTTTGAGAAGCCACATGTCTAGTATGGGGGGGGGAGTCTATAAGGAAAATTTTTTAAACATCTATAAAAAAAAGTTTTCATTGCAATATTATGTTTATATAAGATTTTATCTAAAGTGGGGTCGTACTCTATGTAATCATTTATCCTAACTTTTAATGTAATGTTGTATATGTGAAAAACATGTTTTCAAATAAATGTTTTCATTAAATATCCACAGTTCATTTGAAAGGCTGTTTAGTATTCTTCCAAAGTGATGAGTCACATGTATGTCATACAGTTGGATGAGAAAATAGATTCCAGATTTCTTATTAACACACATAGGCAAGACATACACATAAATTTTGTCCCACGTTGTAGCATTCCCTCAGGCTGCAGTCACAGAATTTACTTATCCAAAGCATGTGGACAGTGTTTAAGTTCGTAGAGTCTCCAATTGAGTGTGAAAAACCCCCAAATCTCATCAGTGTTGAGTGCATCCATTATTTAGATCTCTATTACATGATTGGCATTGTTTTAACTGGTCATTGTCTGGTTATAGTGAGCTACAGTGTTTGTTTCTTTTTTTACATTTTTTTTATTTTATATATATGAGTGTTTACCTGTATGGCTCTATATGCACCACGTGCATGCCTGGTACCCTCAGAGGCCAGAAGAGGGCATCAGATCTCTGGAACTGTGGTCACAGACTATTGAGAGCCACCATTTGGGAGCAGGGAACCCAGAGCAAGTACTCTGAAAGAACAACAGTTCTCTTAATCACTGACTTACCTCTCCAGTTCCATTATTTTGTCTTTTAATTTCTTAGTCGTTGTTTTGTGTGTGTGTGAACTTTAGTATGTGTGTGTGTGTGTGTGTGTGTGTGTGTATTATGTGTGTATATGATGTGAATGTTGTGTCTGTGTATAATGCATGTGTGGTCCTACATGTGCAGAACACACATGTAAAAGTTGGAGGACAACTTTGTAATTTCTTTCCTTGAACTCTTGAGTGGGTTCTGGGATCATAAGGTTTGTGCAGCAAGGGCCTTTACTTGCTGAGGCAGCTCCCAACCCCTTGTCCTTTTGTTGTTGTTTATTTTTATTTTATTTTTAATTTTGTGTGTATGTATATGTCTTAGCAGAGATGTACATGTGAGTGCAGGTGGCCCTGGAGGCCAGAAGAGGGAGTTGGATCCCCTGGAATGGGAGTTCCAGATAGTTGTGAGCTGCCAGATGTGGGTGCTGGGAACAGAATACAAGTCCTCTGTAAGAGCAGCAAGCATTCTTAACCACGAAGCCATCTCCCTAGTCCTTCTCCCTTTTTTGAAATATCATTCATGGCATCTTTTATCTTCTAAGCTGTTAATGCCTCATTCAAATACTTTACGTACTAGACCCAAACCCACCCATTTGAAATTCACACAGGTCTTAGAATGTCACTGTCCCTGGTGGAATTTCTACCTCGATGCACAGTCCCTTAAGGCATCATCAGTAGCTATCAGATTCTTCCTTTGAAAAAGCTTTGGCTGAGTGAGGGGAGTAAAGTATGGGAGACAGAGGGGCAAGAGCAGACCAGGGGAGCCAGACTGGAAGGTTCCTTGCTCCTCATACTCCTCCATTGCCTGAAATAGCTCAGAGACGTCACCCTTGGAGAACAGTCTCCTTTCTTCAATGGGAAACAGAGGCACAGAGAAGTTGGGGTGCATGCAATTTGAGGATACACATCTCCTGATACTTTGCACAGTGCCTCAACCATGGTCCAGATGTATTAACCAAAATAATTGGCAAGTTATGTCTAAAATCGCTACTATGCTTTGCCAGGAACCAACATTTCAAGGTTACTCGGACTTTGATCTAAGTCTGATGTATCTTTGTGGTTTTTACCTTTAAAAACTCTTTATCCCTGACCTTGGCCACCAAGATACCTTTTGGAGGCTCAAGTGTACTCTTGGGTCTGGCCATCCATGAAAAGGACTTGAAACTTTTCACTGCTTTAATTGGCTGAATCAGTGTCTTCCTTCCTTCCTTCCTTCCTTCCTTCCTTCCTTCCTTCCTTCCTTCCTTCCTTCCTTTGTTTTGGCTTGTTCTGTTTGTTTGTTTGTTTATTTATTTATCTTGAGGCAGCATTTCTCTGTGTAGCCCTAGCTATCCTGGAACTCAATTTGTAGCCCAGCTGGCCTCAAACTCAGGGATCGGCTCCGGTCTCCCGAGTGCAGTGCGGTTTTCAATAACTGGCTGGCATGGATCATTACACGCTGGAGTGGAAGAGAAATGGAATCTCTCTCACTGTGGGTCAGCATGCAGCTCAGTCACTCACTTTACACATCCTGAGATGTATTGTTTAATGACCCTTCGGCCACTTTGTCTCCCTTCACACTGACACCTCCTTGCATGGGGAAGTGGGAGGGATTATGCAGGAGGGAGTTTTGCACTCAGAAAAAACACCTCTAGCTTTCAATTTAAGCTGTCCAGGTGCCTGACATTTTAATCCATCTAAAAGCTCTTTTCATAAACGAGCCGGCTGCAGCCAGTCACTGTCAGCATCAGGCTGTGAGCTAAAGGGAGAGACATATCCAGAATAAATGCAGTTGGGTCTTGGAGATTTGGAGCTGGGAGCTGAGCAGGGCTGCTAGCTGCAGGGAGCCGACAAGATGGCATTGGGATTTAGGGTTCTGAGTTGTGAGGCTGGCTCTTTTTTTCCTCGGCAATTTGCCTTGTCCCTGGTGTGCACTTACACTGTTTCCGTGAGTCTGAGTTTTAGGAGCAATAAGTAAGAGCCTCTCAGCTCCACGGCTTTATTATGTTAGAAGGAACCAGGGGAAGCTGATTCACAGTGTAAGGAATTCGGGGGGCCCTGATCACTGTAGTGTCTTTTTTCTTTAAAAACAATAAACATAAAGAAATCAGTGTCAATAATTCATTGGGGCGTATCCAATGTCATCACTTGCCACGTCCTCAAGGGTCTTGTAATGTCATTCCTCTGGCTAGAATAAGGCATATGAGACCTAAAGAGATCTCAAGCTGTACCATGATTCTTTCCTTTAAAACGTGCAGGTTACGTATAGGGTAAAAACACACAGGGCAAACAATGCGTAATGAAGTCACTAAGATTGCTCACGTTTGGTTTGGGCTGGAAATATGGTTAAATTTAAAGGGCATTTAGTGAGAGTGTGTTTTCAAACACGGAATAAAGATCTCACTACAACTTACCACAGAAGTTTCCAGAAAGTGTATTAAAGAGTGCAAATGATGGGTTGTAAGCAACATTCAAAGAATAAAAACCCTTCTGTATACTCCTATTTTTAGTAAAATGACACTTTTAAGAAATACATTTTTAAAAAGGTTTATTTTTTAATTATGTGTATGTGTGTATGTACATTAGATGTGGGTGTGTGTACAAGAGTGCCTAGGACCAGAAGAGGAATCTGGGTGCTTGGCAGCTGGACTGAGAGGCAGTTATGAGACAACCTTCCAGGTGCTGGGAACTGAACTCAGGTCCTCTGGAAGAATAGTAAGTGCTCTTAGCTCTAGAGACACCTCCCCAGCCCTGTTAATGCATTCTTTAACAAAGAAGTGGTAGAATCGGGATGGAATGGAGCAAGCTTGTGAGGTGCAGGTTTTTCTCTCTGACTGAGGCAGAGGCGGATCCCTGAGTTTGAGGCCAGCTAGTCTACAAATTGAGTTCCAAGATAGCTAGGGCTACAGAGAAATGCTGTCTCAAAAATAAATAAATAAACAAATAAAACAAGCCAAAACAAAGGAAGGAAGGAAGGAAGGAAGGAAGGAAGGAAGGAAGGAAGGAAGACACTGATTCAGCCAATTAAAGCAGTGAAAAGTTTCAAGTCCTTTTCATGGATGGCCAGACCCAAGAGTACACTTGAGCCTCCAAAAGGTATCTTGGTGGCCAAGGTCAGGGATAAAGAATTTTTAAAGGTAAAAACCACAAAGATACATCAGATTTAGATCAAAGTCCGAGTAACCTTGAAATGTTGGTTCCTGGCAAAGCATAGTAGCGATTTTAGACATAACTTGCCAATTATTTTGGTTAATACATCTGGACCATGGTTGAGGCACTGTGCAGAGTATCAGGAGATGTGTATCCTCAAGTTGCATGCACCCCAACTTCTCTGTGCCTCTGTTTCTCATTGAAGAAAGGAGACTGTTCTCCAAGGGTGATGTCTCTGGGCTATTTCAGGGTAATTAAAGAGTATGACAAGCAAGGAACCTTCCAGGCTCGACCTCTGTTCTTATCGTGTAGCATTAACTTTTCTCGTGTCTGTGACAACAGGGCCTGCTCCCACATGAGCTACATAGCACTGTGGGGTCACATTTCTGTTTGACTGTGCTGTCCTCAAAAAGATCTCCTGATCTAAGCTGCAGCAGGAGCAGAAAGCAAACGCCCAACACCCACATGTACCAACGTTGTTCCCGAGACGTACACGGAGATCTATGGCTCCCTGGCCATTAACAGGTTACAGTCCAAGTTCTCCTCAGCCAGAGACATTATCTCATCGGCAGGTCTAGCCAGAGGCAGGAATGATGGCTCATTAAGAAGTCTCCAAAGCCCTGAGATTCTGCTTTGTCACTGACACCCGTTTAGTTTATAGTTCTGCTATGTCATTAGGCAACCTTTCTGCGGGGACACGGCCAAGGAGAGGCTGTGGTTAACCAATTCAAGGCAAAAGGCAAACAAAAATGACGTAACCACAAATTGCCAAGTAGTAAAACAAAGGGAAAGAACCAAACTTCTATTCTGAAAGAGAACCCGGGGGTATGAGCTGCAGGAGGGGTGCGTGGTCTGTATCTGTAAGAACAGACAAATGAATAACCCTTTCTCCACTGGTCTTACTCTGAAAGTGATGAAAACCAACCTTAGAGGGGTGCCCTTCTCTGAGAGACATAAAGAACAAGTCCAAAGAATGTAGGGTGGGTATCGTAGGCATTCATATAATTTTTCTATAAATTTTTGGGGGATCCCAGAGATCAATTTAAGGAGGTTGGTAGATAAAAAAAGCTTAATTCAGACTATTTGGGGGTGTGTGTGTGTGTGTGTGTGTGTGTGTGTGTGTGTGTGTGTGTGTGTGTTTTAACCTATACTTTATTATTATTTAAAGGGTTGACAGACGACTAAATGGGAGACAGGGAGCTACGTCTCCAAGGCCTTTCTTTTGGAAGAACTTTTTGGGGTGCCCTCTTCCCTGGAAAGGTGTGCGAGGAATTCATCTTCCCACTGAAATCCCTCCTTTGTTCGGGAGTTTGCTGCTCCGACAGCGCCTCTGCTGGTGGCCTGGAGCAGCGCGGGGACGGCGAGAGCCTCCTAGGGCGTCGCCTGCAGTTTTTGCTCCCAGAGTTGAGGGTCTTTGCAGTCACGCAGTTTGAGTGACAGAGAGTACAGGACATTTTTGTTTCATTTTCTCCGACACGCAAGCCTTCTCTTCTTGCGTGGGGTTGGGAGTGGGGGAGCTGGCGCTTCAGCATTTCTAAGGCTTAAAGTTCAATATTGTAACTTTTCTAGTTTTTTTTTTTTTTTTTAATGCTGAAAGCAGGCTGGTGGGAGAGGCAGGAAATCAGAAGCCTTGCAGAAGCATGAGGAGAGATCTTTGGACAAAGCGGACAATGGTACTTATGGACAATGGTCCTCCCCTAGTGACCGGGAGGCACAGGCTAGTGAAAAGGGGGTTCTCCTGCTAGGATGTCTTGCAACCCGCATAGACGAGACTTCTGTGCGCAGCGTGGGTGACTCAAGAAGCTGCACGCGGGCGGTGGTGTGACCTGTCACAGAGAGCAAGGGACAATCAAAAGAGACATCAGGGGTAGAGGTCCTCACACTGGGGCTCCACATGGCTCTGTGCCGCTCCCTCTTTCCCGGCCACAGGACCATGCTGAGTCATTGCTTCCCTGGCTGCAGCAGCCCGCATTCTGTGCGGTGATTGTCGTCCCCTGCCAGGGAGCAGAGTCCTCTAGGCGTCCCACACCCCGGGGAATGGAGTTCGAGCTTGGGGCGTGGTGGACTGAGGGCTGTAGGGAGACCCCAGTGTGGACAGGCGCACGTTTCTGGAGAATGAACACATAACTTTCTTTAAGGTAGACTTTACTAAAGGGGAGCTCAACCCCCTTGGAGGGATCAATTCATTGCTTTACCCCTGGGAAAGGGTGCTCCCGAGAGGAAAGGATGTTGCTAAGGGAAAAGGGTGCTGCGGGTTTCGCACTAGCTTTCCAGGTTAGCATATTCTAGTGCGGCTGGAAGCATCTACTTTGTCCGGGTTTTTAAAAAAAAATAACTTCCGCAATTTCTCTATTGAGCACTATGCGCTTGGCGTGCTAGCTACTGCTGCAGACGCCTGCAATGCTTTGTGCTGAAAAATGCTACAGTCCCCAGCCTGGAATTTTGCTGGTCTGTACCCAGCTCAACACACACACACACACACACACACACACACACACCTAGGAACTAATTAGTCAGGTCTCCATGGCTGCTGAGACGTCGTCAGTCAGTTGACTCATTGAACAAGGCTGGGGACTTTAATGACTTCTCCTTTGAACCGACTGGTAAGTCACTAGGGGGTAAGAGCCACCCGCTAGCGACTTAAGCTCCCCTTCACCCCATTTTAGCAATTTATTTTTTCCTATGAAACTTTGACAACTGACTTTAGCTTCCGCCCCACCCCAGGATTTTGCACATTCCCCTAAGAGGTCGTTTTGTTTACCTAAGAGTGCCAGCGGGGACAGCCACCCTAGTAGCTGTGGTGAGGTTGCCTTATCTTTGTTCATGAGAGATTAGACACCTTGTTCCATAATACATGAAGGCTTTATGAGAGAGTGGTGTGACCTGCCCCTGACAGCCACTGTCAGGGAAAATTAAATCGAAAGCCCCACAGCATCTTCAGGGTGCCTGCTTATTGCTGTGATCACACAAGCAATGAACATCTGACTGCCTCCCCTGGGATCCCAAATGGTTTAACCCTCACAGCCCTAGTGAAATAAAAATGAATGTCCTCATCTTTACAGAAAAGGTTAAAATCGGGATTTGAATTAAGTATTTGAAAGCCCTTTTCCACTGTCTGAGAAAAGATATACTGGCCCGGAGGCTTAAAAGGTCCAAATGACCTGGAATTGTTTAGAAGCGCACATTCCTAAGGGACCCTGGCCTCTTTGAGATGAGACTACACAAGAAGCTGGGAACTGGAGGAGAAGGGAGACATCGAGCTGTGGGGATCTGAAAACTATCATCTGCCAAGAACGGTGATGGGGCTTAAAGAAGACAAGAAGGACTCGGGCTCTTCTAGCTGTGATGGAGTAACTCCGGCTTCGAAAACTACAAAACCAGATGAACATACGTGCATAAGCTGTTTGCAGGCAGTTGACTGCAGACAACTCTTGGAGAGAAACTCTTGGCGTTTCTGAGGCAAAACTCCAAATCACCCAGCTCCCTGCCAACTTATTAGCCACAGCGCACCAAGCTGGAGTCCTAGCAGGGCCTCAAGACTGAGCTGAAGTGACTGAATCTGCACAGTGAGACTTTAGCAAGACAAGGAGCTGCTCAGAGTCTACACGGACACCTCACTAGACCACAACTGAAGCCTGGGCTGTAGTGAGCAGGGGCGCTCACCAGGCTACAACGGGAGGCCGAGGACATCAGACTACAGGTTACTATAGTCCTCAGGAAAGAGCCATGCCAGAGTGTAGTTCTGATCCACAAAGTAGGGGAGGCCTAAATCATGCTTTGTCAATAACCCCTAACTTTTCAAAGTCATGAAAACTATCACAACGCCACCAAACTTGGCAAACCTCCAGCAGTGTGGAGCCTAGTGCATGGCAAGGAGGCAAGTCACCCCCTCTGGATCCGTTCTTGGGTAGGATTCAAGGATATGACTTCTCCCACACCAAAAAACACGTGGACGGCAGGAATAGAGGTTGAATCCACTAGGGCTTCGTGAAGAGAAGGAAGACAGGCCAGCTCGGTGGTGATAGTAGCTACTGGGGCTTCAACTGAGAGTCCCTAGGATGAACCTGTGATCGTGTGAACACCAGCTGTTTGAGGCAGGGTGAGCCCTAGGGACGGCACAGCTGTCAACAGCTCATGCTGTTCTCTGAAATGCCCTCCACTGAAGGTTTCCCCGGAGAGAGCTAAGCTCCATTCTGCTGATCAACCCCCAGAGCACACCACACGGATTTACTCTGGAGGTCGTCCTGTTCAGAGAGAGGAAAACGCACATAGAGAGATACTGATTTCTTTTGCTCTTTGAGATGGGATCTCACTATGTACATCTAAGGGTGGCTTCGAACTTGTGATCTTCTGGTCTCCCAAGACCCATAAACTACCACTCCCTATCAAAGTGCAGCTAATTTTGGGAGAAAATGATGCATTCATCAGAAATATATGTCAGTGAGGAAGTGTGTGTGTGTGTGTGTGTGTGTGTGTGTGTGTGTACTGACTGTAAGGAATGTAAAAATCTCTCTTCTGTTGCTGGGAGCAGCATGGGATATTGCACCTACATTCAGCTTTCAAAACTACCTGTCACTTGGAACCTTAAAGCCTTCCTCTTTATATTTAGAATGAAACAGAGAGAAACTGATATATACATTTCTTGACCAAACTTGATGTGCTCTTTTGAGCTCAGAACTCATAGATGGAAAGTGACTTGGATGGAGAAAATGAGGCGGACAAAATTAACATGGCTCCAGTCTTCCAGTTACACTCCGGAGTGAATCATGACTCCTGAATGACTCATCACTTCAGAGAGAACGCCTGAACAGTGTGATTCTAGGAACACTCTGCCTGCCTGAGAATTTGATAGAAGGGCTCTGTTCCAGTTTACAGCCCAACAAGGCCAATGTGTGTGGGCTTTGCATAGGTACAAAATTGTCTTGAATAAAACCAAACACAGCAGGCCTGCTTTTACTTGTGAGAGAAGAGCTGTTTTGTTGTTTGGAGTTTTTTCTCTTCTTTTTCATTTCCCTTGTTTGCCTCTCTCTGGGAGAAAGGATTTTCAGACAGGAAGCTGAGAGCCGCCCATAAACCCTCCCCAACTCTGCAGAACTCTGTGACAAAGTGACAATGGCAGCTGGCCTCTTGGTGGAAGCTCAGAGGCTGCAGAGACATCCCAAATGCTTTAGTTTAAACTTCACCCGATGCAAACCCTGGAATATGGCTGGCTGTGTCGCCAGCTACTATTTATTGCCAGGACAACAAGAATAACCTGACTATAAGCAAAGGCAGCAGCACAGCCTGTTCCTACCGCTTTTAAGTCTCTTTCTGTTATCCCTTTGTTTTGAAATGAGACAATGAGAATGCAGAAAGCATTGGGTGCAAACTGGAAGGCCAGGGCTGCAGAACAGGCACTGTCCCATTTAAAGCCACCAGGCCCCCTGCTGCTTATGTGGTTAGCAGGATGATAAAAGAACCGGTCTGGCATGTTTGATTAATTCTCACTTAGAAAGGGGATATTCGCCGGGCGGTGGTGGCGCACGCCTTTAATCCCAGCACTCGGGAGGCAGAGCCAGGCGGATCTCTGTGAGTTCGAGGCCAGCCTGGACTACAGAGTGAGTTCCAGGAAAGGCGCAAAGCTACACAGAGAAACCCTGTCTCGAAAAACCAAAAAAAAAAAAAAAAAAAGGGGATATTCATTATTCTCAATTGCTGACGTATGGGTCTGTTTTATTAAAGTTTGCCACTTAGGGGAAATGGCATCAGGGAAGCAAAAGATGGACAACCTGCCTGAATGGGACTGTATGTTGGCTAAACTTGAGCCCAGATAGGAAGCACCAAAGCTTTGGATTTCTTCCTTGGATTTCTTCCTTCCAACCTTCTGCTCACTGTGAAAGCTCATGGACTCCACTCTTAGCAAAAGCTTACTCCTGGCTACACCTAGTGTCACATTCCATCATCAAATCGCCTTTCCTTCAGAATGACACCTGAGGTCTTAAAAAGGTAGAACATTCTTCATATCTTCAAATGTCAGGCTGGCTTCCTTTTCAGGCCTTCTTGTCCTCAAAAGAAAAATTGGGAGGGGGGTGAAGCTACATGGTTGTTGAAGATTTTGCAGCTGAGCCAATGGAGGAATTGGCTTAACCTAGCAGGAAAAGAAACCTTTTAGAGTCCCCTGGAGTCATATGACCCAATTGGTTGTTCAAGTCTGTGGATAAAGCCAGCATTCCGGTACTGATGATGACAAAGCAATTCTCAACAGTTTCCTCGCTTTAGAAGGGATCTTGAGATGGGGAGAGCAGTTCTGTGCTTCTCCGACGTTTATAGTCTCTTCGGTAGCTAAGACCTATGTTGACCTATGGCAGTTCTGAGGGCAAGGTTGGGCAGAAGTCTTATCCCCACAACAAAAGTGAGAGTGCCTCATGAGAAGTCATACATCAGGTGTTTTTGTATCAAAACTGTACGGTAATATCCGACACATGGTATAGATAGACAGTGGGTCCTGGTGATTAGCTGAGCATACTTTGGGACCCTTTTCCTGCAATGCATACGTAGTCCCTTGTTTATAAAATAGGAAGGGATGCAATAATGCCTCAGCAGGGCATGTCCGAGTCCCAGCACTCACCGGCTTTGCAAACTGAAGGAGATTGTAATGATCAATGGGTGTTTTGTTGTTGTTGTTTCATATTGTGTTGTGTTTTCCCTTGAATTCTATGAGAGGTGCAACAGAGCTAGTCACATTCTGTTTGTGTGTTTGTATCTGTCTGTATTCAGGGTGTGGCATATGTATGGAGGTCAGAGGGCAACATTCAGAAATTGTTTTCTCTGTGTACTGTGGATCCGAGGATCAAACTCATGTTGCCAGATTAGTGTGGCAAGTGCTTTAACCCACTGAGCTACTGGCCAGCCCTCATATTTTGTTTTTCTCTTTATCAAACTGGATATTGAAAAAATGTTTAAAAATTTTTAGCTTCTGAGGAATCTAAGTAAATAAATGAATAGCCTACAGCCTTGACTGATCATGCTTGCTCTCTCCCCAGTTCCTTCTGTCATTTGGGAGGGTTAGGGTAGCACCATGGTAGGTGTAGCTGGCAGTGAATTCACCTCAAGCTATGCTAAAGAGATA